AATTTTGTGAGGAAGCTGTTTACTTGCATACGCCGAACATAGGTGTAACGAATGGCAGGTACATTTAATATAAAAAAGATCAGTATCGGGCTTAAGCTTTGCCCTTAAACCATTAAGTTGTCCCGCCATTACGTTGGCACCATCGGTGGCTAAACCGATTATGTTTTTTAATGGAATACCCTGTTCACAAAAAAACTGTTTGATTGCATCATAAATGGAACTTGCATCACAATTTCTTAATTCAATTAAGCTTAAAAACGAATCATGTACCCTTTGTGTTAGTTTGTCAAAATATCTTACAACTAAGACTAAACATTTCTTTGTAGACAAATCAGTTGTCTCATCCACAATGAGGGAAAATTTTGACGATTTTAATTTACATACGATTTTATCTTTGGCTTTGTTGCCCAAAATGTCAGCAATTTCGGTTGACTTCGTTCTGCCACATTGAATAGCCGCAGCAATTTTAGAGTCAGGGCAACACTCCTTTAGAAGCGCTGGTAAAAATTTCATAAGAAGGAATGGTAAGTTATGGCAAATAAGGAACAAGACAAGTGTTAGCTCAGCGTATTTTATTTACTTGTCTAGATAGCGCTATTTCTTCGCTACTCAAAAGCTTTTGGATTTGTATTTGTTTTTTCTTTTTTTCCACGTTTTGCAAATGTACGGCCAAGGAACCATGTTTCTTTAAATAAGTGACATGGTTCGACAACTTTTTGTCGCAAGCCATACAATGGCTTGCCCCATTGACATTTTGCAACCAAGGAAATTGGTCTAGCCATGCATGGCGAAATTTTCTTGCTGCGACTTTTTTCTTACTACGTTGCTGTCTGTATATTACAAAACAAATACATACATATGTAAGTAATATTAATACATTCATTTCAAATAATCTTACTTGGTTTCACTGCTGGGGCTGCCACTGCTGCTGCTACTCTCCACAACCTCAACAGGTGTAGCTGGCCTATGTCTTATCACGAACCTAATTTAAAAGATTTTTAGAAATACATATTATACAAAATAAAACCAAAATTGTGTATTTTCTGCTCACTTATCCATAGCAATGAGCCCGTATAAATTTACTTGAAAGACCAATTTTGCGCGGAATTCTAATAACTTTTCGCGGCTTTTAAATGATTCTCTTATTATTCAAATGTCATTTCACGTACATATGTGTGTGCAAAGAACATAGAGATGGTGCAACTGCCGGGCCGTTTCAAAAACTTGGCGATTAAATCACCACGATTTATTAAAGACACGAACCGATAGTTGCACCCTCGAACTTTTACATGTTCTTTTGCATATGTAAACACATGATTATTATCGAAATAAGTCGAATCTTGAGTTGCCATTCTAGTAGTAATACCTTTATTTAAATAACCATATTCAGCAGAATAAATGTATTTGTTTATACTATTTTTCAAAGATTTAAGTATTTTACGTATACAAAAATTAAAAACTACAGTAAATATTAAAAAATAACAAAATGGGAAAGATCTTAACAACTTCACAGGCAAGAAAAAAATAACCAAAATTGGTTAAAAGTAGCCAAAACGGCAACACTGCTTGTTCAATTCGATGAAAACCGTTGTTATTGTGGCGAAGATGGAACCAAAGTAAAACTTTACGCACTTTTGGTGCAACTTTGTTGATACCGCATATAAAGATCACAAAAGCCATTCTGCGGGCACGTAGAATGGGACGCGTTTCTTTGCCAGGCGGCGCATTTTCATCTCACGGCGTCCATCAGGAGATATTTATTTATTTTAGTTTACGCTTGATCAGGGTAGCACGTTTGCTAACCTGCTTCTTGCTTAACTTCATCTTCGACTCGGGGACAGCAGGCAGCTTCCTGAAATGTAGTTTTCCCTTTGCTTCGGGCTTCTTACCGACCGTGGTGGCAGTCATCTTATCTTGTCACTTAGCACGTTGAGAAGGCGAAAAAAAACGCCACTCGATTTATAACATTTCTATCAAACACGATTTAATTTCTTACTTTTTTAATACATAGATATGCTGCAACCAAGCACTTACTTTCCCAAATTCCATCTTGCTTATAGGCATAATTTTCCAAATGTGCCTGAGATGCTACTTCATACTAATAACTTCATTTTCCAACTTCAACATATCCTAAAAAGACATAAAATTTACATTAAACAATAGAAATCGCAAAAATTGGAAAATAAAATACTTTCTTCATTTTGTTTTGTTGTCAAATTTCTGAAAAATGTGAATTCACCACGATGCAATACAGAAAGAACAAGGACCAGGGTTGTAATTTTAAGTCTTCAGTGGCAATGCGCAGAGCGTTCCGAGTAGCAAAATTAATTTGTATCAAATATAACATTAAACGGTGGTGCATGTTGTCGCGACTATCGATAGTGGGCGATATTTTTTTAAACAATCGATAGTCGCCAATTTTGAAAAATATAAAAATATAATTGGGGCGTATTCATAGTTAAAATTAAGTTGGTACTTAAAGTTGGTTGTAACTTTATTGACGGATAATCCATCCAAAATTATGTCAAAAAGCTACAACTAACTTTAAGTACCAACTTAATTTTGACTATGAATACGCCCAATTGGGTTAGATATAGTTTTTTAAAGACCATAACGACCTACCTTAATAATGAATGTATGATTGAAAAAACTAAACATATTTACGTATTCCGCTTTCTAAAGCTATTTGTTTTTATATAAGAAACATAGCATGTCAACATTTTTAGGGTTTAGTTGCGATATTTTTTCGTTTACCATTAAAGCTGCTTTACTGTACATTCGTTCCGATTTTACTGATGACGCACAGTGGGACGTCCCCATATAAGCTACGACCAAAAGTAGTAACCGTACTAGAAATTCGCTGAAATTTCGTATATGGGCTATTAGGCACTTAAAAATGAAGGCATTTGGAAAATGGTGAAATTCAACGCGTTACCACGCCCACAGTTCTTATGGGCGGAAATAGTAAATGTTATCCGATTTTGATCAAATTCGGAGCATATTCTAGATCTAACGAAAAAAGCATAAATCTGAAAGACCGTCAAAATCGGTTTACATTATCGTCCAGTACTTCTAGAAAAACAGGCGCAAATTAAAAAAAAAAGCAGATTGTTTGGTAAAATTCGGTGAGCCCTGCTCTATTAAGCCAAAATTTTCCAACTTGGAAGATAATAAAGAATTTGTTATTACGGCGCCCACCTCCTTTCTTGGCTCCAAGTACTAAATTGTATGAATTTTGGAGGAAATGAAGAGGCCCCTTTTTTTATTTCTAAAGAAGTAACTATTTCTTAATTTTAAAAATGACAAAACGAAAACATTTACAGAACCCATTCTAAGTTATGTGAACGATATGTATTTTCATTGAAACTTTCACTTTTAACTACATTTTATACAGCAAAAGCTGAGCTGAGGCAATCAGGACTCTTGCCATAGAAAACGGATTTCGTCCAGAGAAGCGTCCATTTTTGGCTGAATGTTGAATGTGATTAATAGATAGACGGGTCACTAATATCTACACCTACTTCAATTTCCATTTTCCATTACATTTATTTATTTTATGTACATATCAGAGTCTTTCTCTTCAGCTCTACAATAAAAATTCAATAAATTTTACAGGAGATGGGTCTATAAAAGGAAGAATAGAAGCTGAACTCGCAGCTCTCGCAGCTGGAAAAATTTGAGATATGACACGCATATTTAACGTTTACTTGTCCTAAGTATAATTAAGCTCGCTTCCTAGGTCCTTTTTAAATATCTCTTTTTAAAGTAAGCACTCGAAAAATTTTATACTCACAGAATTTCCACCGTTTTATGCATTACAAAAGATTTATTAAAATTTAAATCAATGCTTGACCACAGAAATTCAAAAAAAATAAATTTATAAATTACTTGCGAGAAAATCAAAATTTTTTCTCACAAAATTATTTTTTCGCATTGTTTCTATTTTAAGCTAGTGTCATGATTGCAAAAATGCATTTTTATTAAAAATTCTTTTTGGTTTGGGTTATCTGGATATTTTGTTATGTATCTGTGTAATTACTTTATCAGAATGCGCTAATCAGTTTTTACTATTTTTGGCCGCTGTAGTCCCATTGTGCGATGTTAGACCAACATAGTTACCAAATATTATTTAATATAAAAGTATTGCCGCTTTAAACAATGCACATTCACCATTTTTATGTCTTAAATTTGGAAAATTTTCGATAGTGAAAATACTCGATAGTTTTTAAAAACTATCGATAGTGAAAAAACCAAAACCATCGATAGTGTCGATAGCGCCATCGACAGTTTTCCACCACTATCACGAACACAATGGAAGGACCAAGTTCAGAAGGACCTGTCCGAACTTGGGATAAACAACTGGCGCAAATCTGCAAAGGAGAGAGGCAACTGGCGAAGTTTTTTGTTGTCGGCCTAAACCGACAAACGGTTGTAGTGCCAAATAAAAAGAAGATACAGAATTTCAAATCAATTTAGCCAATTATGTTTCGAGCAGAGCTTTTTAGAGCCATTTCAGTTTTCAAAAAACATCGATGCATCGGTGCAAAACATCGATATTTTTGATGTTTCGATAATTTTCCGACATCCCTACCTTTATCTTGAATTTCCATTACAGAGCTCCTTGAATAAGTTCCACGATCTTCACAAATAAATATAAAAAAGTGAGAAGTAATGAGTCACTGAAAACACGATTCACAATGAAAATGTGATTTGTCAACTTTCGAGAGTTAGGATTTATATCGCGAAAAAAATTTAACTGTAATGAGATATCACCACAAAACATTACTATACAAGCTAGATCTGCATATATTTGAGTTTTGACCGCCAGTTGAACCACTGTGTACCCCCAAAACATATGTACATCAACAACTACGTGTAAAGCCAAACAATTAGGTATAAGACAGCGAAGATTAGAAGGTATTATTTAAATTATCTCTACACTAAAGTTAGATACAAATTTTTGCTTTTTTAAATAAAAATTATTATTTCTAATTCCAGAAAAAACGTGAAGATGTTAAAAGGAATACAGACTACATTGACCTTTCATCATAATGGAAACATAGATGTCTTAACCAGCTGCTAAACGGATTCGCTGAGAGCTGCATACTGGCGATGTTGGAAAGCAATATTCAGGCAGTGGTTAAATATAAAAATTCAAAAATGCCTTATTCGTTACGGCATCCACAAGAACCCGACCACGAAATTTCCGAATACAGCTATTCACAATGGAATAGTGTACTCTTACGGAACAACGAGGCGAACATCTGCTCCGCCAAAAGAATAGCACCCGTTGGGACTTGCTCAATATATACTCGCAAAGCTCTCGCTCAAATACTGTCTTTATACCAGCAAGAAAATTCATACAGACAACTATTTAACGCGTCCTTCTTACTGATATCATTATGCTTGCTCTTCGCCGCAACCACCATAGCCGAGCATGTGCGCGAGCTTGAAGTATCCGAAGGTGTGCCCATTGGACACCAGATTGGCTTTATTGGGGAATTCTCTCACGGGATGGATAGTGGCCCACCCTATCTTATAGTGCCGGTACCGGGTAGTGCTGTGGACACCGATCTTGCTATTGATCACACGACCGGTGATATACGGACTAAGGTATATTTGGATCGTGAGTCTCGTGCGTCCTATAGCTTGGTAGCTATACCTTTAAGTGGAGAAAATGTGCGTGTAGTGCTGCGAGTATTGGATGAAAATGACAATGCGCCGATTTTTCCACAACCGGTAATGAATATCGAGTTTCCCGAAAATACGCCGCGAGATGTGAAAAGAACGTTGAATCCTGCTCGTGATCTAGACCTCGGTCAATACAATACACAACGTTACAATATCGTATCCGGTAATTTTAATAATGCATTCCGTCTATCGTCTCATCGCGAGCGTGACGGCGTGCTTTACCTGGACTTGCAGATTAACGGATTTCTCGATCGCGAAACGACCCCGGCTTATACTTTGGTAATTGAGGCGTTAGACGGTGGAAGTCCACCATTACGTGGACAGATGACTGTTAACATTACTATACAAGATGTCAACGACAACCAGCCAATATTCAATCAGAGTCGTTACTTCGCTACTGTATCGGAGAATGCCACTGTTGGAACGAGTGTATTGCAAGTGTGTGCCACAGATATAGATTCTGATGAAAATGGGCTGGTGGAGTATTCCATAAATCGGCGACAGAGTGATAAAGAACAAATCTTTCGTATCGATTCGCAAACTGGTTTGATTTCAGTGAATAAACCTCTGGATTTCGAGACGAAGGAGCTGCACGAGCTTGTTGTGGTTGCAAAAGACCAGGGCGAGCAATCACTAGAAACCACCGCATTTGTGTCTATACGAGTAACAGATGTCAATGATAATCTCCCGTCGATCAATGTTATTTTCCTTAGCGACGACGCAACGCCCAAGATTTCGGAGTCGGCAAAACTCGGTGAGATTGTGGCGCGTATTTCTGTCAATGATCCAGATTCAAAGGCCGAATACTCGAACGTAAATGTTACTCTTAATGGTGGCGATGGACACTTTGGGCTCAGTACACGTGACAACATCATCTATTTGGTGATCGTCTCCCAACCTCTTGATCGTGAGTCTCAGTCGAACTATACGCTTAGTGTTGTGGCCACAGATAATGGCACACCGCCATTGCATGCCTCGAAAACTATTTATCTACGCGTAACAGATATCAACGATTATGCGCCGGAGTTTGAGCATGAAGTGTACGATGCCAATGTGATGGAAGTGGCTGATCCTGGAACATCTGTTTTAAAAGTGACTGCATTTGATCGCGACGAGGGAAATAATTCCGCAGTGCTTTACGCGCTTGCTGATACACCAGAAACACACGCCGAATGGTTTCAGATTGATCGACATACGGGGTTGATAACTACGCGCTCGCAAATTGACTGTGAAACCGAGCCCGTTCCGCAGCTGACGGTTGTAGCTAAAGACAATGGACATCCACCACTCTCATCCACAGCTACAGTGCTTGTAACCATACATGATGTCAACGATAATGAACCGATTTTTGATGAGAGCTTTTACAATGTTTCGGTAGCCGAAAATGAACCCGTTGGACGGTGCATTCTAAAGGTAAGTGTAGATGTCGATAGTTAACAGTAAATGTGATTTGCGTGAAGTGAAATTAGAAAGTGAGGTACAGTTTTCGAAATGGAAAACTCCGCAGCTTTCTTAAAAAGCGCTAATGTCACAAGCTGACGATGAACCAAGGTTGCTTTGTTAGTTAGGATATAAAAAGGCGCGCGCAGCACCGTAAACGTGAAAGAAGTGAAACTTCTTAAAAAAGGTGTTAGTACCAATGTGTACGGCACGGCAAAGCATTCGGCGATTGAGTTACATAGGTACATACATATGCAGTTTAGGTTAAAAATTAAACATTAATTTCATTTGATTTTGCTGATTTAAAATTTCATTATTCATTTTCAATTTCAATTGAAAATCCGGTAACACTATCTTATGTGAGTTCGCCCTGCTAGCTAGCTGAACGGATAGAACTGTCACATAATTATCTATTATATGTTTAATAAATACAAATGTTTATACTGCACGTAAACGTAACGTAAAACTGAAGAATCTAAAATCACTAGATCCTTACGAATTCGCAGCTATTTGTTAACATTCGCCTCGTGCTTTATAACCAAGGCATTAAGCAACGTGCGAACTTCTGTTTGCATTTATTTAAGTTGAAAGAAGACCAAGGCGAATTTATACAAGGTGGTAGTAAGAATACAACAACAACAACCCCATATATTTTTTATTACGGGTATTGTGTCAAATCAGTGCTGTCAAATCTGTAAAAGCAAAAACAAAATACATGTAAGGCTAAGAAATCACCTGATCAAAGAACACCACCTTGTATAAATTCGCCTTGAAAGCAGACAAATTCCTTTTTTTCGGTATCTCCTCTTTCTCGCCTTCTCTTTGCATAACGTTGT